CTGTTTCACCATGACAATTATACAGCTCCAAGAAATATTTTGGTTGGTTCCTGTTTCCTTTGAGTTGCACATTATTTTGGTACTCTTGCTCAAATTGATGCAAGGTTTGTTTTTATTTACTTCACTAGATCTCTATGCTATCCAGGGGGCAGTGTACAGTATTTTGCAGCAAGATAAAAACTAAAACAACTTAAATGCAACTCAACAACCACAAAAAGAAAACTGTTGTTTTTCAAATTATGATGCTTTTCTTACATGGAATAAATCAATTATTATATTTTATATCAAATAAGAAACAATTCCAGGGACATTACAGTATGTACGGACAAGCCATCAGCGACACGCATAAAAGCTTTGGCAAACATCAAGGAAATTCAATGATTTTTAATTGACCAGTAATAACAAACATAATGGACCTTTATTTTCAGTAAAACTTCCACATAGTTTCGAGTGTTACGGGTGTAGTTCTGTTTTCCAGATTTATGGTTGGTGTGGTCGGTAACTATGGGAGAGTTCTGTGGCTATAAAAGGCTTATTACGATACTGCTGTCCTTGAGATGGGACAAAGGTGACAAAAACGTGACTTAAGTGACACATCTACAAACTATAAAGGTTAATTTATTACTGTGCTAGATTTGCTGACTGTTTAATAATTGTACCCTAATTTCAATTAACAGGAGTCTGATCTTAATCTGCCAACGCCTCCAGGGGGACTATTAGTTCTCATTAAGGTGAAGCGATTACATTTGAGTGATAACAACAGTTTATGGTCCACTCATCAGCAGTGCGTCCCCTTCTCTTTCTCAAACCAAACATGTTGTAACTTTAAGTAGACAGACACAACACCGATTACAGTCCTCCAAGACGAGAATCTGTTGACACTTTCACTGCTTTGCTAAAACATGTCGCTGCCATCTGCTGTTGTCATGAGATTCATTCTTGAAATGTTCTAAAAATGGATTTATATATTATTATATTGGAGACTTAACTATTTCGCTGAAGTGAAAGCAATTACAGTACATCACAATAGAGGAACTTCTAGATAGGAAGGGACATTTAAAGTACACAGGTACAGTACAGGAAGTGTAATGTTACCTTAGTGTCACATTTAAATAGAGTGTGCTAACGATTGAAGAATTGAAATGTGGGGTTAGCAGTATTTCTGTTGTTGGAGAAGTATGACTGTTTTATAAATATTTGCAATGAAACAAAGAGAGACAGGGAGGACATGTTGGAAAAATAATTTAACTTTTTTAAGTTATTTGGCTCTAAATGCAAATAATACAATATTATGAATGTTACACTAGTTATTTTAGTACTCCTTATGTTACACTAATAATAGTTATTATTATATATTCTACACAGATAAAACTAAAGCCAAAGATGGTACATTTTTATAGAAATAACTTTTTCATGTTTTCTGAAATTGTCCCTATTTTCTGACAGCATGGCATGAGACAAATACGTTTTGGATCAAAACATGTTTCTTCTGTTTTCATTTACTTTTTGCATTTCTTATCAAACATATTAATCTCTGTGAGGTCTGTCAAATATTTCATTTCCCATAAATCCCTTGCAAAGCCCTTTAATCGATGCCTAGAAACCTGCATTCGTAGCACTTTTATTATATACTCTTTTTGGCACACTGTTACCCTTCACAGTGAGTTACTGCCACCAGAGGTAATGTTTATCGACAGATATGCATATAGTAACTGTTGGGAGAGATTGCCAGATATCCATTACCATCCTCCCACTCTGCAGAAATGTGCATTACGCTCATGCTGTAAAGTGTATAGAGATGTTGTATAATAAACAATACAGGAAGCCATCACTCTTGAGCACTTAAGTGATTTGCTTTGACCTCTTGGGAGAAGCAGAAACCAGCTGTGGACATAACATTAACATGTTATCACTTTTTGAGTTTATATGGCAAACTTGTTTGCATTTATTTGGTGTTGTGTTTTTTGTCTTTACTGTGGCCTGTACAACTATCTATAAATGTACGCTACGTAAAGCAACGGATAGCTTTGATTCAGGTGATGATTCTCTTTAGGTTCAGTGACCCCCTTTTCACATTGTCACATTATGATTTGAAGTATTATCCTTAACATATCTATTAAAGCCGCTTTAGGAAAAGAGCAAATTGAGTTAAACCATTACTCCCATACGTCTAGTTCAGTGTATGTTTTCACAAACAGCACTCATGTAGAAAACACGAGGGTGCAGGACTATTTACCACAAATTGAAAACAACTGCAGGAAATTACAGAATCTGTGCAGAATCCAGGCGTCAGTCTTACTGCTGGTACACAAAGACAGTCGCCCACAGGTGTGTGTGCCGCCAGAACAGGCACTTACGTCTGTTGCTGGTTCGGTGCTCTAAGCTTACCGATGATAACACACACACACACACCTTAGCTACGCACTCTCCAGCCCGGAGCCATGTTTGAACAATCGATCCCGGGGGTCTTGGAGCCAGAAGCAGAGGAGTGAGTGGAAACAGAAATGTCTTCAGCTCGGCTTAGCACTGGTGCATTCACTATCCATTACCCATCACCTTGTGTTTGCCTGAGAACATGTTTTTCTGTGACCTGGGTTGATGAATCCTCTGTGCTCCAGGTGTTTATTTGATCTGAAACCTAATCTTAGGTGTGTGAACAGTAACTGCAGAAAAGTAGGCATATACTGTAGCACCAGAAGATACAGACATTAGCTAGAAAATATCACCCCAGAAGCTGTTATCTCCAACCTGTCTTTTTCAGCAGTGGCGCATCAGTAATCAACACGCTTTGCCAGTTTGTGATTACCGCACTCAACTGGGAGCCCTATTCTCTCTCTTCATCTTGATTGGCATCCTCACATGGCTTGTTTATCTGGGGTAAGTGGCCCTTGCACATGACCTGCCAGAATTAGCTAATTAGACCAGAGAAAGATTAGAGGAGGGCCTCAAATAATGACCCCCTTTTTCTGTCTGATAGTCATTTGGGCATTCAGAGGCCAAATAGCCGATCCCCGCTCTCCTCACCAATGACACGGGACATTTCAACCTCCATAATATCAGGTGCTGAGGAAGAGACAGGCTCTGCATTCCCTTGAGGAACAAAAGCATGTAACCCACCAGGGTGGGCCCAAGGCACATGTTACCTATGACTCATATCCAGCTCAACACAACACAAAGGAGCAGCTGGTCTAAAACCCATTATCTTAACCTTTTACAAAAGCATTTATAATTAAAGCAACAGTTTACACTCAACAGCCTTTCATAAATCATTAAAATATGTTTTACAAAGGCCAGACAAATATTTACATGTACATTTCTTGCATTTAATGATATTATTATGATGATGGACATGTTAAAGCAAGGAAAACCATTGTAATATGATAGGATTCAATACTCTTTCATTGGGTTTAAGATTAAGACTTTGATATAACAAAGATCAGACTGTCCCAAGTTTCTGCACATGCAAAGGACTATTATACTAGGATTATAGTATTTCCATCATCACTGCTCTGTAATTTATTTCTTGTTTTTTCTTTTTTTACCTACTTTGCAACTTATTTTTTTAGAATATTTATGTTCTCACCACCAGATACCAAAGCAAATTCCTTGTATGTGTAAACATACCTGGCAATAAACTTGATTCTGATTCTAACACAGGTTGATCAACAGAAAGGAAGTGAGGTGCACTCAAACACCACAGGGGGGCGACGGTGTGCATATAAAAGCTTATACAGGCACTTTCAGCCACACATCAGGAGCATGAGGTCACCCATCCGTCCATTAGCTAAACCAGCTTATGGTCGCGTGGAGGCTGGAGCCAACCGCAGCTGGCATTGGGAGAGAGGCTTGCTTCTCTTTGGTCAGATCTCCAGTCATCTATTCAGAATAGATGACTGGAGACCCGTAGGTTTGTGAGTGGCGCATCAGTAAAATCTACGGGCAATCGCCAATTAGACTCGCCAATTAGCCTACCTGCTGCAACATGTCCGAGCTTTATTTACTCTAATATGTTTTCAATCTCCCTAACCTCGTTTATTAAAATTATGTATAGTTTTATAATTGAAAATTGCACAGATACTGAGCATGTAAGTCCTAGTTATAACAATATGGTATCTTATCGGGACTAAGACAGGATAATATGGCTGATGGGTTGTCACTCAAAACGCCAGGCAGGAAATGGTTATTCGTTAATTAGAATGAACAATTAAGAAGGTTAATTTAGTGTTATATACATTGATTATGATTAGAGACTTACTTAATGACGTTTTACCCCAACCCCCAGTGCTGTTGGTGCTTTTATACCTCAATAAATTAATTTAATCCCCTTAAGAAAGACTTCATGATATTGTGTTATCCAATACTTCCCAATTGATATTTATTTTATTTCGTACTTTTAATCAAGATGTCCTTTAAAAATGAGAAAAACAAAACGTTCTTATTAAAGGTGGGGTATGTAATTTATTTCAGAAACAGTTTTTGTTATATTCCATGGAATGCTCTAAACATCCCGATAGCAATGAATACATTAAATGCTTTGACAATAAATACATTTAAAAATGTCATCTGTGGAAGCCGCAGTACTGTAAAAAGCACGACCAATCATGTGAGCCGGCCCGGCTAAAATAACTGGATGGCCTACCTGCCTGTCAGCCTTCCATCTGTGCACAAACTTATCTCGTGCCCTCATTGGTCATGTGCGCGTTCATGTGTGTTGGAGGAGGGGCTCTGTAAGGAAGTGGCAGATTTTTTTCCGGCTGTGTATTTTCAAATTCCAGTGCACTCGAGCTGGTTTCTCCAAAATTACATACCCCACCTTAAACACCTGTAATTGCCAAGGCTGTTTTAAATCTCTGTGTTGCAGTTTTTTCAAGTTAACAATGTGATGACAGAGCTGAGGAGGGGATCCAAAAACTGACCAATGGCCGTGACACTGACACACACACACACACACTATATGACTATCACTCTCTCCATGCGGCTCATTTGGAAAGGCGCAGCAGTGCGCCGCGCTCCTCCTCTCTCCTGGTGCGCACCGATCCTTGATTTACACGCGTGATGCCAAGTGAGGAACATCTACAGCAAAACTGAAAAAATAACGACAAATAAGTATTTTGCAGGTTGTTGTTTGTTTTAGAGTTGGAAGGCGAAAACATTGCCTGTCTTCAGAAGGACTATGGATGCTGAGTAGTTTTATTTTACCACTTGAAAGGGTTAGACGATAATTGACAAACGCTTTGAGTCGAACTTAGCTTAACTTCTGAGACAATACTACTTTTTAAAAAAACATGGATCTCTATGCGCAAAATGAGACCTTCTCTACCCCAGAGTGCGTCGGACGGCAGGCTGATGCGCTGCAGAACGGAGCCGGTAACGGGAGCTTGGAGACATCAAACATCATCTGCAGCAACGTGTCCACACTCCCCACACCTCAGCGTGCGAGGCACAAAGGTGAGTGGACAAACACTCAACATTTTGTCATCTGGTGGTTGATCATAAAGTGTTACTACACGATCTATTGCCTTACTTGCATTCATGTGGTGATCAAAGGGAGACAAAAAAACAATTGTAGCTTTCATTAAAAATACTATCAGTTCAGAGTTAGGTTTATAATAAAGGTTTATGGCTAAACGGGCAAGATCTCTGAACTTAGTTTATAGAACATTTTAATCATCGATCAATTTTTATTTACTGGGATATAATACTGATGTGCTAATAGGATCTATTCTTTTTCAAAGTACAACTGTGTTAGGGTTTTTGCTTAAAGTTAAGGAACACAAATAGAAAATAAATAATGATATGGAAATAAGATCAATTATAATAAGATATAAGTTAAAATAAGATAATCCTTTATTTATTCCCAGAGTGGACATTTAGGTTCATAATGAAATAGGAGAGCAGAGAGAGAGAGAGAGAGAGAGTGTGTGTGTGTGTGTGTGTGTGTGTGTGTGATGTGTGTGTGTGAGAGAGGTCAGGAATTACATTCTGTGAATCACAGGGGATTGATTCATAAAAATAGTCTCATGGCTTCATATCTGGATGGTTGCGTGGTAGTGCAGCTACTCTACTGTATATTTAATACATGATTCCTTTCTATATGATGTCAGTTTTTCCAAGCACTTAATTGAAATTGACAGAATAATTATGTGTTTGTGCTATTGTTATCTATATGAAGACTTGACTTGTGAACAAGAAAGCACATTAAAGTGTGTCATCACTCATGCTATTTCCTCTCAGTCTCATCATCACCTGCTATATTGTAACTCATCATTGGCTGTGTTAATTTCTTAATGGCTGTTTGACAGCGTTTCCAATAGTTGATGAGGTGTGTGTGTGAGTTGCTTCACATCTTCTACACCTGTTAGCGATGAGTAATTTTGCGCACCCAGCCATGAATATAACATTACACTATGCTAAATCAGTACATTAATTATTACTGACTCACTGAGGGGAAGTGCAGGAGCATATAGTTCAATTAGGAGCTTAATCTATTTTTTATGTTGCACTATTATCTTACCCCCTTGAACTGCTTTCACCATCATTATTCACGCTGTCACTCCAGAGTTTGATTACCTCCCACCCCGTTCACTCCTTTCCATCTCGCTCTGTCCATCAATCTGAGGCTCTGTGTTTATGGAGCAGATTTAGTTGTGTTGCCACTTGGTCACCAAGGACCAGGGATGTGTCATGGACCATTTATAATCCTCCAGCAGTATATTCTGCAGGTTTTCATTCTCACCAAAGGGATCTCACAAATAAATTATTTCTCAAAGACACTTTTTTTTTTATCAGGGAAATTAGCTGGGGCTGATTAAAAATAATCAACATTAACCATTGGTGGGAGACAAATAGCAGTAGCTTGTGTTCGATGTAACCAAGTCATTGGGTACAAAAACCATTGGTAAGGTTTAGCAAAACATCTTGTTGGTTTGAAATGACTTCATCTTCATGGTTACATTAGTAATCACCTGTTCAAGGGTTCGGAACGAGTTTGGTCATTCTGTCAGTAAAGGAAACGTCTGGTCTTAAAATCTGACATTTGATTGACTTCTCCCTCCATTCATCCCGACCTCCTCCCCATGCAGGCAGATTTGATCACTCCTCAATAACGTCAACTGACTTACTCCTTTGCTCCCAAAAGAGTAATAATTACAAAAACCACAGAGGGCTTTGCTACATAAATGAAAACAGCAGTTTTAGGGCACTTGCTGACAGTGCTCACGTTTTATCTTGAGGGGAGTGCTAATAAAACATATGCATGTAATGTGTTTTTCTGTCTTCATTATATTTAAAACAGACCTTGCAAACTTCTATTTGTATACACAATTATGAATTGAGTCACTGTTTCGTAGGAGGTGCTTTGTGAAGTTGAAATAAATAACCCTAAATATTTCCTCAGGCTTTAAGACTAACATTTATTTTATGTAGAGTTTGAGAGACTCTTACAAGGACGGTCAAACACTTGGGTTCATACAGTATCTGTCTGAATTATATTCCTCACTTTCATGGATGCGCAGTACACTTTTAATTGCGCAACATGGGTGTACCCCAGAATGGTTAAATGATAGTTCTATGAAAAATTGTTTTAATACATCACTGCTTTCCGATAATTTCACTATACATCTCAAGGCAGTGAAATACACTCTCACTGTTGGAAGGAACATGCCACTCAACCATAAACACCTTTCAGAGTGTTTTCACGTTGCATGCAGCTCAGGTGTCATGTTTGATTTGAAACAGAAACCTACAGACTCTCTAAGTGCTTCATGGCAAAGGTTTGACACCTCCTGCAGTAGACTTGATAGATGTTATGGTGGATTTAAGTGAAGCCTGCCATGCCATGTTTACTGCACTAGACACACGGTGATGACATATTAATAGAGTCAATACAGATGCTGTCAAGGATACTGATGCTGATTGTAATGCTATTTATTTAACAATAGGAGGTCATTATTTTGGTGCTGCTGAGGATGATGATGATGAAGACAACAGGAGGGTTCAACATTCAATAACATTTTTGTTCAATCCTTCACACAAAACAGTTCATCTCTCACACAAATAGAATTTTTCAACACTCCACCGCTTTTTGTTTCCCTCTTCACTCCGCCCACTTCTCTTAGCCCTCCATCTCTCCTGTTTGTGTTTATTTCATTATCTCCATTGATCATTTCCATTCCTCAGAGCGGATGTGTTTAATTCATGGTTACACTGTGTGCAAAGCAACCAACCAACATGTTGTTTAATAGTCAGGCAGCCATGACCAGGGGCTCTGCGGCTCATGTCTGTCAGTCAACAGAAAGTGGTTTCATTCGATCAACTTTCCCAGGGTACGGTTGGCTTAGTGGCAAGGCAGAGATGACATTTACTATGCTGGATTAGCAACTGGCTGTGACATTTACCAATACCTCAGTCTTACGAGAGCAAAGTCGGCTTTTCCCTGATAGGTACAGCGACACGAGGGCCAACTGGGATAGAAAGAGACACGCACTGCATATGTATTAGGAGGGGAGTAAATCATAGTCAATATAATGTCTGACATACTGAATAAGAGAAGCAGATGAAAGCTTAAATAGTCATGGAATGAATGCAAACCCCATTATTAATTCAACCACCAGCTCGCCGCACATCTAATAATAGTGTGCCGTTATGGTTCCACTTAAAGTATTTTAATGTTATTGTTGGCACATAATCTGTTCACCAGCCGTTCATTTTCGACACTTATATTGCTGGTAAAATAACAGTTATTATGTGTTCAAATCGAGGTTACACGGGAGGTGGAAAAGTTTGCATCTGCACAACTGAACAAAAATATGTGTCATACAGTGTACTGTATGTACAGGAGTGTTGAATATCCCAGACATGCGATGTGTATGGGGGTAAACCAAATAGAGAAACATTGCAGAGGTATAAGGAGCAAGGAATGTATTCTTCAAAAATAATAATGGCACATAAAAAGCTGTTTTCTCAGATTTTTCTTTGATAACTGCAAGGGAGAAACCTCTGGAAATTACAACAAAATAATTGTTCAAGCTACCTGCACATCCCCTCTCGTCTGTAAACAGAGTTCAGACTGTGGTCCAGAGCCGATGGTGAGGGGTGAGCTGGCAGAAACAGCAGTGGGCAAAGTCATGAAGTAATGAGACTGAAATGACGGGGCAGGAATGGGAAAGAGCTGTGTTGGTTGGCTCTGAACTGGCAGGTCATCGACTAATATTAAAGTAATTACAGTTTATCAACTTGTTCAACACAACAATCTGCCTTCAGACCAATACATCTGATTTCCAGCTCCTTAACAGAAATAAATAGGCAATCATTTGCACCATTGTTTCAAGAATAAGGTGCCTTGTGTGCTCTCAAATTATAGAATATGAATAGAAAGCAACAACGAGCCCTCAATAAGACATTTGATATCGATTATGTTCAATATATTTCTGTCATGGGCCATGAGAGGAATTGTATTATTATTGAAGAGAACTGCAGTGTATTCGCTGGCTTCATTTTGCTTGTACGTTAAGAAGAGAGAAACTATGGATATCTGACTTCACAGTTAACTTAATAACGTATTTTTTTTATATATTAGCTTTTGATGTTTTTTTGGTTTCAGTTTTGTATTAAAACGTTGTGAATTCAAACAAATGAATTAACATCATAAAGTAACATGTAGCAACCCAACAGTGAGTGTGTAATATTTTCCTCATAATGGTATAACGTTAACACTCTGCCAGTTCTCACAGGTGGTGTAATATTTAAAGCTAATCACTGTAGGTGGAGTATTCATTATACCCCCCCCCCCCTGAGGAGCGCCACACGCAGCACAGCTGCAGACCAGCACAAATAGGAGACACCATCAGAGCCAGAGGGAAGCCAGTGAACCTGAGGGAAATATATAATAACTATCCACTGTTCAACAGCTAGTCACTAAATCTGATTGGCTGCTGTTTTGGTTGTGTGCAGTGTGTTCATTGTCACTGTTAAGCTGTCAACTACTGTCTCATTTTAAAAAGATGCAAAGGAGAGAGGTGGGGCCAAGTTGTTGGCTGTAACACCAAAACAATAATCCAAACAATTCTAAAACACTCCCACACCAATTATAATCTTAACCTGATGTAATATGTAATTATGTTTTTGTTGATCAAATTTAGTATTGCTAATCTGCATCTGCAAACAAAACTAGAAAGTAAATGTAAACAAGTAAACACATCCTTCTGAATCTTAGTACAGTAGAAGTATAAAGTAGCAGAAAAGTGTCCAACACTGACAGATCCTGGCTTTGATTTACACTCATAGATGAAAACTGTGACCATTTTATTTATTTCAGTACAATAGTATATATCTTTTTGAGAAACTGCAGACCTGTCTTTGTATATCATAACAATTCTACAGCCTTTAGGAAATAAGCTAATAATATCATGATGCGAACAGTCTTTTTGAACATGTCCATTTAGTGCTGTCCAATGAGGCTGTAGACTGGACACTACGTGCTTTTTTAGGACTTTATATAGCAGAAATAATAATATGTGCACTAATGAGCAAGGTGATCAAGTGAAATGCTTCTGATCTACACATACGTAGGAGCAGGTATTGTTAAATGCTGGCCTGAAGGAATGTGTAAATGTGCTGAGGGAGTTAACAGTGTTTCCTGCACAGCCAGCAAACACTAGAGAGAGAGAGAGAAATTAAGAAGTGTTGGTTACTCGCCCCTGCCAATCGTCCTTCTGCACGTTTTCATTATGCTCATGCAGATGAATGTGCACAAAACTAATCACCTTCAGCTCCTGCCATTAGCGAGCCCATTGTGGTTGAGAAAGCCTGATGTTCAGTCAGCACAACAGCACCCGCAATATTACAGGCTACTGCCTTTTATCTGCATAGAAGTGTGTGTGACAGATGGCGGGGCCTAATGTCATTAGATGGGAAGTGTGTGTGTGTGTGTGTGTGTGTGTGTGTGTGTGTGTGTGTGTGTGTGTGTGTGTGTGTGTGTGTGTGTGTGGTGTGTGTGTGTGTGTGTGGTGTGTGTGTGTGTGTGTGTGTGTGTGTGTGTGTGTGTGTGTGTGTGTGTGTGTGTGTGTGTGGTGTGTGAGAGAGAGAGAGAGAGAGATAGGAAGACGGATGACTTTTGATGATCGAGCTGAGAGTGGCTGCGTGGAGGCAAGAGAGTTAAATCAATTAAGTGACTTGCCATCAACCTGCGATTCATGAACATCTACTTTTGGAGACTCTACAAACCACAGTGAATGCTGCATTCTGGGAGAGCAGCGTTCCTGTGGAATAATAATGACTATTAAATGCTTTGAGGGTGAGGGGAAGGATTTCAATTCTAGCTGCTGGAGGTCAATGTGAGAAAAGCAGTCTAAATTGAGATATGATTCGGAGATATATAAATCATTACGGTTCAAAGGGGGATTAAGTGTGTCTCTTTAAATGATCATTTTATCATTAAAGAAGCTCAAGAAATTATCATAACTGACTGATATGGGAAAAAAGGCTCAATGGAGCTGTGGCTCTCGCAGTGCTGGAAAGACACCTTGGGTTGTTTTTATTTTATTTTATTAATGAGGAATATGCTGCCATGTTATGTCATGGCTAAATGCTGTCCTTTAATCATATACTTGTGATGTTCAGAGTCAGTGAGCTGTGATCGATATGACACTAAAAGAATAATCCTGAGGGTACTGATCAGCAAGAAAACATGAATCAATGATGTTGTTGTCAACGTATGGTTTTAAACAAGCAAAACGTTCAAAGGGCCTGTGTTCAAAACATTTTGACAAAAATGCCATCTGATGTGTCATATACGAAAGCTATGTGGCTGGCTTCGCTGCTACAGAACATATGCGTCTGCGTTTTCGAAACAATTCTACTTGAGAGCAAGAATAGAGGAAATAATTCAAGTAATAATGCAAACCACAAAAAAACTCTTGAGATGGAAAAAGGGTCAAGCTCAAGGAGAGATGCATGAAAGATAACAATTCACTTTAAAAATATCCCCATGAAACGGGTTTGCAGTGAGTCAACAGAAAAATGGAGCTAGCCAAACATTTGGTTAGTGTTGCAGGGAATATACCCTCTCTATACGTTTTGTATGTTTTTATATGCTCGCTGCGAGGGGGACCCAAGTTCCCATCAGCAAAAACACGTGGGTTTGCTATCCTAGCTCCAAAATGGTGGAATGAGCTCCCCATTGACATCAGGACAGCAGAAAGCTTACACACCTTCCGGCGCAGACTGAAAACTCATCTCTTTCGACTCCACCTCGAGCGATATAATTATTAACAAAGCACTTATATACTAATTAAGGACTGGCTTATCTACAGCCAGTTGAGTAGCACTTAAAATGTTTGGCTCTATGAAGCCTGATGTACTTATATGATTCTGTTTTCTTCAAGGTTGTGTCTTCCTGGTCGAATGTACTTATTGTAAGTCGCTTTGGATAAAAGCGTCAGCTAAATGCAATGTAATGTAATGTAATGTTATTTTAATGCGCCAGTGCCTTCGTGGGACTGTGCTGATATATTTTCAGAGGATTAAAGCTTGAGTGTGTTAGGTTGTCTCTACAACTATGTCAGTGATATTTGCATGTGAAGTGATTTGTGTCCTGCAGATGTGCACATGGGTGCGTTCAATACCCACGATAGAGACCCAGCAGGTGTTCAGGTAAAGATAACAGGGAAAGCAGAAAACATTCCAGTGAAGGTGACAATTGCTCAGTGCACAGACTGCAGGCTGCAGCATTTTGTATTTTAGTATGTTTGAAGGGGAACTATATTCATGTTGGTACACAAATTCTGTGGTGAAGAACAACATGTGCACACAAAACAAATCCAGAATTGGACTTTAATGATGATTTGACAGGATCTAGGCTTTGCTATCTGTCAGTCATACCTGGTTACACTAGTCTAGTGGGTCAATTATATGTGTAAATATGTTTATAACTAACTTATATTCTCTTTTATTCTCCACCCCACTCCAACAGATGTAACTTGACTTCAATACTGTCACTCTTGATTTAAAAAAAGCCCAGCTGGACTCATCAAGCTCACTTCCTCAATTTATTTATAGTTTAGCCATCATGAATCCAAAGTGTATTGCTCTCCACAAACATAAAAATGAATATTCCAAAAGCTTTCCATGGTGTTTTCTGATGGACAAAACTAATGTTTGTTGTCTAATGTTAATTTGCCGGGACTTCTTTCTGCGGATTGAGATGCCTGCACTTGGTCCTTTGATCTTCGTTAGCAATGGTCTGTTCTCCTTAGCTGCGGTCTGCTGGCAAAAACTACAGAACTCTGGAATGTCCAAATTGACCAATAAGAATCGAGTATTTAACCAAGCTGTGTAATAAGTATTATAACTAGAAAATGCATTTCATGCTGAAAATGCATACGAATGCTGTAAACTGTAAATTTTTTGCTGAATTTAGCTGAAAATGCAGAAAAAGCTGAATATGTTATTAGCTGAATGGTCGCTGCTTTTAGCTACAGAAACCAAGTAAGTGTGTCAATAGTATGAAGCTGCAGCGTCGGAGACGACACTTGTAGAACCAAGTGTCGTCTCCGACGCTGCAGCTTCATGCTACTCAAGTGTGTTGCTGAACTTAGCGGAGAAATGCAGAAAAATTAAAAATATTTGAATCAAAATGGTTACAGCTCAAATGCATTGCAAGGACTTTGTTGAAAACTTGAAAGTAAAATGTTAAACTGGAAGAGTAGGAAAAATAGTGAAGAAGCTTAATATTTAAAAGAAAAGGTATAAACAACAACATGTAGAGCCTCAATGTCCTGAAATAGCTGAATCATTTAATAGTTGAATGGTTTCTGTAGCTGAAAGTAGGCTGAAGGAGTTAGATATTAAATGTAAGTAGTGAATGAATGTGTATTAAGAAGAGAAAATAAAGTAAAAATTCTTTGAAAAGTAGCAGAATATTTTAACTGCAAACTTTTGAACTAAAACCATACTTCACCAATAATGTATAAAATATGTGGAACATGTTGAAGTCAATATGAAGTCTCCATCAGACAGAAAATAATAGGCTGAGACAGTCTGTTAAACTCCAGTCTGTGTGTTTGAGGTGACGACATTATCAAGTAATCAGTGAAAGGAGAGCCTTTCCATTGATCTGAATTTGGGAGTTATGGCATGTTGAAGAAAAAGGTTGAAGGCGAATTTCAAGCTCTCCTCCACTCTAGCTGTGACATCACGCACTCTAAGCCTTAACGAGCTGTGCAATACACACATGTTAAATTCTGAAGAAGGCCTCTTTACCAAGCTCCAAACTAAGTTAAATATCTCAAAAAGTGTAAACAATATCAGAAATCTGAATACAAGTTTAATAGCTGAATGTCTTGTGATCATTTTAAAGTTGGAATGAAGTCTGTAGCAGAAAGTTGCACAGCATTCACACTAATAAAAGAGGATTATAAAAAGAGACTAAAGCAGATAGTTGGTTCTAGTATTTTTAGTATAACACAGAAGTATTTCTATTGGTTCCAGGCCGTTGTAATCAATAACAACAGCGTGATTGTATTGATCCTCATGTAAATCAGATTTGGTGGTTCAGTAGGGAAAACACACTAACACCTTCTCTCCTCCTGTCTCTCTCTGTGCCAGGTGATGACCACACACTGCGGATCCTGCTCTACTCACTCATCTTTTTCCTGAGCGTGGTTGGCAACCTGCTGATTATTCTGGTGCTGACGGTCAATAAGCGCATGCGCACCGTGACCAACACCTTCCTGCTGTCGCTCGCTGTCAGTGACCTGATGATGGCCGTCTTCTGCATGCCCTTCACCCTCATCCCCAGCATCCTCAAGAACTTCATCTTTGGAGCTGCCATGTGCAAGATAGTGTCCTACCTAATGGGTGAGAGAAGGGAGGATTGTACTGTATATACTGTAAAAAGGCCCTATTATGCTTATTGGAGTGTCCCCTTTACTGTAGCTTATTCTATAGGTTTTTGTGCAAGTACTGTAAATGGTCTTCAAAGGCTCAAATCCCAAAGTTCCCTCCAGAAGGAGTGCCTCTCGCTCCCTCCCCCTGCTGCCTCCATTGGACTCCTTTGTTTACTTCAGCAACACAGTGAAATCGCTATGTGAAACTTGCACTTCTATTGGCTAGCACTCCAACACATTATACGTAATAGGCTAAGGGGCAGTAATTGGCAACAGGTGAGGGATATAGTTTTGTGTGTAAAGGAAATAAAATCTTGACTGAATCTCTGTGTCAAGATTCCTCCTGTGGAGTTAGGGTTTAGCCAATAAAGGAATATTTATGCACTGTCATATTGCAGTTGAGTGTGGCTTTTCCATTAGATGTTTCATAAGATGTAATTTATAGAGGAAGCCTAAATTATCCTGATACAGTATGTTGCCCAATAATATTTTTTCACTCTGCAAAAATAATAAGGGTCCCCCCTTATCAAAATTACACTTTTTTGATAAGGGTCCCCCCTTTTATAAAATTACACTTTTTTGATAAGGATCCCCCCTTGTAAAAAATGTAACTTTTTAACATTTATGTAGAAATGGTCTCTAGATCAATTGTATTGCACTGTTGCCACAGAGGGTTGTTTCAGATATAATTAGGCTTTTTATGTACAAACAAAAAGTGAAGGATCATGATCCCCCTTATTTAAAAAAATGTGCTTTGAAGGTTTAGAGAAGTCAACATGTATTCATTCACTATTCAGAATAATTACCATGACCAAATGTTTTGAACACATTTGTATTCAGTGTACAGGCAATAAAGAACAGACAGATGGCAGAGACCCATTACATTTAATAAAGAAAACCAACAGACATTTTCTTATAATCAGGACGTCCATGTTTTTTTTCAAAATTATGACTCTCCATGCACTTTTAAGTATGGGAATCCAACATTTCTTCTTGAAATATTTTCATGAATAACAACAACCATATGTCAAATTATTAGTATACACAGCCTTACAGATGCCAGACGGCTAATTGATATATAATATGCTTTAATGTTACTTTCATTTGACCTCAAATTGCATTGAAAATATGTCAACTGGCATCCTATAAAAAAGCGTAAGGGGGGGCTACACACTACAAAATTGACACCAACTATTGTACTCCTGAAATAAAACTCCATTAAGATGAAGCTACTGTATTGCTTTATTTTACTTGTAAACTTATTTGCAACCACCAGGAAACAAGCTGCAGTGGTTCCCAAAGTGGGGGGCGCAGATACATGACAGGGGGGGCGAGAGATCAGGAGGAACAATGGTCATTTAAAAAAAAGAAAAATCATAATTTGAAAAATTATTGATTCGAAAATAATATGATACAGTACTATTACACAGAGACCCAGAGTCTCTGTGTTTCATTAAAGCTTGGCTCTGTGTGTGTGTGGAACGAGCCATTTTGTGTGCATGCGAGCGAGAGAGAGAGAGCGCACCGGTACCGGAGATCGTAGTTGTTAGCTTCTGGTGCTAGCGAGCTACGCTAACGGAACAAAGTGGAGGAGAGTCCTCTCCTGTCAGACTGAGAGGCTCAGTGAACTAAAGGACTCTGAGTGTTTAGATAGTTAACTTTAGTCTAAGTTATCTCAGTGGGTCTCAAACGTTTTGGTCACCATTAATGTAAACAATTATTTCCGAGGCACAAGTTTATATGATCATTATAAAAAAAGGGAATAAATGAAAAACAGGTATGAAATACTATATGACTATATGAAAGTTTAAAAGGGTGATTTGTAAAATATCCATAAAGAAAAAGTAAATCTGTTTACAGTTCTGTTTCATATAGGTGTTGAGAGATGTATCCATAGATCTCTTAATTTTGCTCTCAAAGTGCACCAGATTGATGATTTTAACTTCAATATTTAAAAATACACACTGAGCCTGACTATTTGTGTTGGGGGGGCCCGACTTATTTTTTTCTCCAAAGGGGGGGCCTGACAGAAAAAGTTTGAGAACCACTGACTTAGGGAGTTAACAAGTTCACTGACCACCTGTCCACCACTTTACAAAAGTGGTATGTATAGATTACTATTGAAGAGTAACATTTTCATTATCTCCCCTGTTTGTGGGAGGTTCATGGGTGAGTTTGAGTAAGGAAAGGGTATTTCTCCTAGTCTGCATCAAGGAAAATATCCATTCTGGAAATGTCAGAGAAAAATAACATTTATATAACATAATAAAAAAATTAAAATAAACGTTTTGCCAACCCTGAAAGACAAGAAATCTGAGATTACATAGAACATATTGGATTAAACTAAAGTAAGAAGATGGCATGTTAATGTTGGAAAGATAACTATCGTGCATTGAGAAAAAGTGAACAAACCCAAAGGACTGACTGTTGGCTGATTGATCTTTGCTTCATTGGGATCTGGCTCGCGCATACACACACAGATAAACACACACACACACACACTCACACACACACACACACACACACACACACACACACTCACACACACTCACACACACACACACACACACACACACACACACACACACACACACACACACACACACCACACACACACACACACACACACACACACACACACAGTCTGTATTCTTGTTGAGAACATGGATAAAGAGTCATTTCCCGTCTTGTCCTGTCAGGAGGGATGTCCAATAATATCTGTGGCACAGGCCAACATGATTTCTCTTATCAAGACTCAGATAACCATCCCCGCCATACGTTATATTCATTTGCAGGCTCATCTCCACAGAGCACCACATTTTGTTCTCCGTTGTGATTGCAGATATTACATTCAAACATCAACAAACATGTTTTTCTGACTTTCATATTGCGGGCCCAAGCTCTGTTCTGAGCACAGAGCGGTAATCACTTTTCATTCATCAAAAGTAAAGATAGCTTGTATTTGTTTACTTACTTTTAAAGGTCCCCTATTATACTCTTTTTCATCAATATGTTATAGTTCTCAGTTATATACAAAACATATCTCTGAAGTGTTTGGCTCGAAATACCAAACAGATCATGCATTGTAGCATGCAATAAACCCCTCTGTTTCAGCCCTGTTTAAAAAGTGCTGATTCTATGTCTGTTACGTTAGATGAAAATAAGGAGCCACTCCCCACGCCCCTCTGAGAGATATTTGGTTAAAAATAACACAATGGTGCTCTAGGAGGAGATTCAGGTGATAAGGTGGCGGGGTTACCTTGGTTGGTTATTGGCTAATTGTTACACAAACCAAAAAAAACTTGACATCATAAAGTAGCCATCATAAAGTAGCCAAAATCTGATCAGCTCATTTTCAGACAGGTTTTTATATAACTGGATCAGGACAAAAAGAGAGAGTATCCTTTTTCCTGAAACGTTCAGAATCTCTTTACAGAGGGGAAACATATTTATGTATAAAAGACATGAAAAAGTGGATTTTGCACAATAGGTGACCTTTAAACAATCTGTTTTGTTTTGCTTACAGGAATATCTGTGAGCATCTCCACATTTAGCCTGGTTGCCATAGCTATCGAGCGCTACAGTGCCATCTGTAACCCTCTGAAGTCGAGGGTGTGGCAAACCCGCTCCCATGCCTATCGGGTGATCGCTGCGACCTGGGTGCTAGCCTTGGTCATCATGATCCCCTATCCAGTCATCAGCAACTTGGACTCTTTTCAGCGTGCTGACAACACCACTGCTCACCAGTGCCGCCCCAAGTGGCCCCTCGCTACCGCGGAGCAGGCCTGGTGAGTGTTCGGCCTGCAGATGATGTGTCCTTTAAACATCCCACTTCTGTAACATTGTCGTGTTTATATGTGAGCAGAAGTACAGAAGAGCTGTAAAGTCAGAGAGAACGGTATCATTAATGTCAGTCACAGCAGTTATCTAAGGTTTGCTAACATTAGCTAGCATTAGCCTCCAAAGTTACTACTTACAAATTAAATATACTGTTATATAAAAGAGATTTAAACAACTTATTTGGTTTTACTTTACTAGTTGTCCAGGGAGATACAGGGAGGTGTTGCATAAGGGATGACATATCATCTGCATATGTAAAATATTAAATGTTTTGGTTCTACACAATAAGGAATCAGAGAGGCAGCATCATTGATCCACTGGAAGGTCAAATAAGGCTGCGTGACAGATTTGTTTTAAAGGTTTATATTAAAGGTTCTTTTTACTGACAGTGTTTTGTCATCAGAAAATGTTTTTTCATCAACCAAATTCAAGGTCATTTTAATGCAGAACGTCATTACGTGAACAGAGAAGGCTGAAAAAGGAATTTTCCTCATGTTATTTGTTTTTGAATCCTAGCTTAAAATGATCCATAGCAGCAAAATGACCACTATAATGTGCATCCACCCACCATTGTCTTATAAAACCATGCACTGCTCAGCACATCTCATTGAGATATTAAAAAGTCAATACAAGAACAAATACAGATTAGTGAGCTCCCCCAAAACACACACACACACACACACACATACCATGTATACATCACTTCAGGGGGCATTACATTGACTTACATGCATTTCCTGGAGACTTATCCTAACCTTAACCATAACCAACACATGCCTAACCCTAACCCTTACCATTACCCTAATCCTAACCAAGTCTTCACCCTTGCCCTCATGGGGACCTCCAATTTGTCCCCATAAGGGAGGCGAGTCCCCACACGTGACTGTGTAAACAGATTTAGGTCCCCACAAGTATAGTAATGCTAGGCCACACACACACACACACACACACACACACACACACACACACACACACACACACACACACACACACACACACACACACACACACACACACACACACACACACACACACACTCAACTGGATCTTGTTATTATTTTATCTCTGCTTAAAAGTTGGTTATTTTCTTCATGGAGAACAGGTAATGAAACACTTTGTTGGGTTTATTAGTTTAACTAGAGATATGCACAAGCTATATTGATTTTTCTTTAAGCATCATCACTTACATTTCCATAGTAATCGGAAACACAACAGGACATAATATGCAACTTCACATGAAACTTCAAAGCTCAGATCATCCATAATGCTTGCCATCTGGACAATGTTCCGTTTTGTTTCATATAAACTGTTGATAATCTGTGTCTGAAATGTATTTTGTTTTGCTGTTGTGCGTCTGTGTGTGTGTGTACTTTCAACGAAGCAGGTTACCCTGAAACACCTCATTTACTTTCATGTTTGGACATCTTTTTTTAGCAGCTTTTAGTATCCGTCCACTGGGTGTTCTTTGTGGAAACATTAGAGCAGATGAGGAGAGCAGAAGGATGTTTTAATGAAAAATTAGGATGGAACAGGCTTTAGGGTTATTTCAGAGAACTGTGTGTTTTTGTGCACAGCTGAAACATTTTCAATTATGTCTTTATTTTAGCTTGGGTTTATACATTTGTGTATTAATGCCAGACCCAGTAAGTGTATCACCATACGATTTTGATCCACAGAGGATGACACAATTAGTCATTTTGATACATTTACAGCTTTTCTAACGGTCTCGCACAAATTCCAGAAGACTTACCATCTGGATAGAGAATGCTTTGTTTGATTGTAATTTATATAATTATTTTTGGGGCGCAATATATGCCTTTATTTGAAAGCAAAAGAGGAAGGAGAGAGAGAGAGAGAGAGTTTGAAAGCAAAAGAGGAAGGAGAGAGAGAGAGAGAGAAAAACCAAAGTCCCTGTTTAGGGTGTGGTCCATGAAAAAAATATTTGTACCTGGCTGTTACCCAAGATGCAACCTGGCTATTTTCGATCTAGACACACTGGAAATTAAATATTGTGCAATGCAATACAAAATATAAATGTGTTTTTTGTGAGAAAATTCTAAAGATAATAACACTGTAAATATATTGTAATTTAAAGTCTTACAAGCTTAGCAAGGTAAGCTTATTGAAAGCATATACTTGTGCTAAGTATTAGATTAATGAAAAGTTACATGTAATGTCGTTTCTGACATCAGGAAAACAGCCAATAGTTTTTCATCAAAATAGTTTGAAAAGTCTCTGAGGATTTTGGAAATATTATCTGAATATCCAATATTTTAATTTACAGATAGAGATTATACAGTTAGAGATTAAAGGGTAGAAAACTGTGGCTACATGAATGCCTGAATAATGCACATCTTAACCCCTCTCTTGTGTCTTTTAGGTACATTCTGCTGCTGCTTGTGCTGTTTGCAATCCCAGGGCTGGTGATGATTGTAGCCTATGGACTGATCTCCAGGGAACTTTACAGAGGCATCCAGTTTGAGATGGGCCACAAAAAAGAATCTACTGGTGAGTCCATGCACACTAAACGTAAAGACAACACACACAATTGTAGGGTACAGCTTAAATGAGGGCTATCAAGTTCACAGCGCTTCACAGTGTGCTATATGTGCAATATATATATACCGTTAATAACTGTGTAATTTATAACTGGCTGCTAATCCTTAGAACCGTTACAAGGTGTGTTTTTTTTTGCATTTTGTATCTTGTAAATTGTGTAACTTGCTGCAGTTAAATACCATCATACTATGTGCAATATGTGCCATATGTGCAATATATACATTACATTATATACATAAGCCATTAATAACTGTGTAATATATACCTGGCTGCTAAATTCTAAGAACTGTTACAGGATTTGTATTTTGGAAAGTATTTTTTCTTTTACTTTTCTTTTTTTATATTATATTTTTTACATTATATCATAACTTAGTACTTTTTTCTTAACATAAGTAACATTAAGCTGTCTGTGGCTCTTTCCTGCTGTAAAGATGCACATTTCCCCTGGGACTAATAAAGATATTCTGATTCTGATTCTGACAGGCAACAGGCAATGAATAACATTGACCCCAAAAATACAGCATTGAGTAAAAACAGCGAATGTTAAGACTCCAGAAGTATGACCTTATCTTTCAGCTAGGTGACTCGAAGACAAACGGGTAGTTGGGACAGAAAGATAGACAGACAGAAATTATAGACAAATGTAAACCTGTTAATTTGCATGCATGGATTCACAACCTAAAATGTTTTTGTTTCTCAAACCGAAATTACAACCAGTTATTGTCCTACATGTAGAGAGATGACTTAAAAAAAGAATGATGAGAAACATTTTCAACAAAGAAGTCAATCCATGTGAACTGATATGATGCCATGTGTTCACCCTTTCTCAGAGGAAAGAAAGGATGTAGAAGGACGGGAGCAGAAAGATTTTTCAAGCTGTTGGAAAATAAGACTTGGACTTCATAAAAATGCGAAGGTGACCCATGCAGGTACAGCACTCCGGTTATTTTCTCTACTACATTTTGTAATGAAAAAACAAAACAAATCACAGAACCAGCCAACTTGTTAATCCTTATCCTATCATTGGCAATATCTCAACACACTTGACGAAAACAAGGCACTGACAACAACACTCACAGCTTTCTTCTGACCTCTAAAGATTTATAGAGGAAATACAGTTTTTCTTAAAAAGCTGACGTTTTGATTGCAATGTAATTTATACATAATAGCAACCAGAAGATAATGTTTTTTTTCTATTCTTGTGAACGATGAGCATTTTATTTTAATCACAACAATTTCATTACTGCTACAATCATTGTAATGTGTGCAGGTTAAGTGGAACATAACCTTTTGTGAGCATATGAGAGTGTGTCTCGGGTGAAAGCAGCAGGGAGTGAATTTGCCGGTGCTTCATTAGAGGATGGATTGGCTGGCTGCTGCGGGCCTGGACATCACCATCTGTTTGGTCTCACAGAGGAAAAAAGGGGGATGAAGGATTAAGAATTTCTAAAAATAACCTTTTGGAAAATGTGAGAGTGGTTTATACCTTAATAGTTCTTGTGAGTACTTGCTTCCCTTGTGTATCTATTAAGCTGAGCAGCTGCTATTTGAAGAGCTGTGATTGACGTTAGACTAGCCATACATATGGGTGCATGTGTTATCACAGAGCCAGACTGTAGGACACACGGTTCCTCTGGTCAATTTCTAACAGGTGAGTATGTGGGTGGGAAAGGTCAGGTGATGGGAAAGGCGAAAAAGGGGTAATTGAAGGTGAGGGAGTGGCTGGATCTGGGAGTCTACCTAGTAAAGTAAAATAAATAGTTTGTACATACAATACAGAAGTGTATGTACTTGCTACATTCAGTTTAAACAACCTTTTTTGCTCTGCTCTCCCATACAGATGTGAAGAATGGACTGACCTCTGCTGTGTCCACCGGTAGTGATGATGGAGATGGTTGCTACGTTAATGTCGTCCAGAGGCCACCCTCTATGGAGATGTCCACCATGGCTACAACTGTCAGGGCAAACAAGGCCGAAAGACCACGCAGCAACACCTCTGAAGCCAAGCTGGAGGCCAAGAAGCGAGTCATCCGCATGCTGGTGGTCATTGTTGTCCTTTTCTTTATCTGCTGGATGCCGCTGTACTGTGTCAACACCTGGAAAGCGTTCGATGAAGTCTCGGCCACACATGCCCTCACAGGCGCTCCCATCGCTTTCATCCATTTGTTGGGTTACACTTCTGCCTGCGTCAACCCCATTATTTACTGCTTCATGAACACACGTTTCCGAAAAGCTCTGCTAGCCACGTTCTCGTGCTGCGCTGCACCTTGCCATCGCCGCCGCCGCCATGAGCTACGGGACAATGAGGAGGACGTTATGGCAACCGGGGCATCCATGTCAAAGTTTAGTTACACTACAGTCAGCAACATGGGAACCTGCTGAGGCAGATCGATGAAGCCACAATCCAGAGGAGACAGTTACTACGGCAACACAGCACCCTGCTTCCTGTGGGTTTAGGAGAATTCTGCGCTGAAGACATAACATGGAAAAAACAGGCCATATAGATATCATTATAGAAGCATCACTCATGAATGAGAGTAAAGTTATATATGTATATAAGTTACACAAAGATGATTTAATTAAACCCAGTCCAACCTACATAGCTATGTTTAAAAAAGCACAAAAAAATGGAGTACAGTTATGTCTTGTTGGACTGGACCAAGGCAAATGATTTGCTTAGATGTTTACGGTGGGACGTGTGAGAGTGTAGGTGTGTATGTGTGTGTGGTGGGCTGTATGATATGCTCTGGTGGCAGCTTGACAACTTGTAATGTGTGAAGCTATAAAAATAGGAAGGCATGGTGCTATGTCAATTTGATATAGTGTTTATGTATACTTTGCTGTTAGTTGTTTATGCGAGTTTATGATAGTAATGCAATTGCCTTGTTGACTAAGTGCCTGGTTCTAAATACTATGTTAAATCTGTCTACAGTTGATGAGTCTCACTCATCACTGGCACCATAACAGGCGGATTAAAACTTCGATGGTTGTGGAAGTTGAGTTTAAAGACTCAAAGTGAAAATCCTCATAGGAAGTCTTCTCTCCTAATGGGACCTGATATATCAGTGTGTTGTCAGCTAATGGTTCCACAGGTGAAGAAAATACTTGTATAGGTGGTATAAAGATCTAATATAGGCGGTGGTGATGCCTTGCGTAGTGGTTGTAATCTGTATGCTAGCCAACTTATTTGTAGTGCCGGTTTTGTGTGCTCCAATGTTAGTTAGTAATGTATGTCATTGCAGTTTTACATGGTAGCAAATATGAGAAAGTTGACTTGACTCTTGTTGACTTGAACTGTGTTTATTTTTCATGTGAGGGAATTTAGTTTGAGGGTAGTACATAATACCTACTGTATCACTTTGTGGAGAACGTTGAAATATTGGTCAGAGTACAAGAGAATATACTGGATAATGGTATTGAAAAAAATATTTAAAACAAATGAAAACTTTGATGAAGTCACCAGGAGCAGGCTCTGCGTTTTAGAAACAGTAAATGGTATTAATAGGATTGTATAAGTTACTATATTCATGCTGTATGACAGTATGAAAGGGGTTTTTTATATTAACAATGTTCACTGCAGCCTTACAGTAATTGAGGGTAAAGCCAGATAAGTTCATTGAGAATCCAGAAACGTGCAGTCCCTGTGAACAGCAGGCGCAGTCGACAAAATGGCAGCCAGGTTTCAGAGGTCTCTGTTCGTCGTGCCCTGTGTGGCGTGTCTGACTCTGTCTCCCCTGCTCACCTCACAGTAATTGTGTTACAACCCGAACCCTGCCAGGCTGAGTGCACCAAAGCACAATGCTGTCAGCCTCTCAACTACTAATAGATGAATGGCTTGCCTTACTGAGCATTTTTTTTTGTATATTCTAGATTGACCTTCAGCTTTTGTGGTTTATTGTGTGCACATTTCCCTTTGTGTTTAACATATACATCATAGTGAAGTATTTTTAGTAGACTCAACTACATAGAGACATACTCTAATCAGCCAAAACCTCAATCTGTATAATGTAAAACACAGCAGAATAAAGCTAATTGACAAACTTAGATAGAGACAATAACATATTAGCCTTCTGTGCTAATCATTTAATATCTGCAGTTCCTTCTCCTCTTGCTTTATACTGAGACAACTTTACCATCACATGTCTCCAGAGTGTCAAGCTTATGTCAAGTGATGAGTGACAGCCAGAACATAATATATACCTTCCCTTTGTCTCACTGTGCAGACCCAGGCCCGATCATCTTTAAACACAAGAGGCACTCATTCATTAGCTGATCTCATTGTCTCTGGGCTTGATGGGCCTGTGTTGAAAAGCCTTTGTATGAAGGGCTTATGAATCAAACTGTAAATATGAACCGACAGTGAAAACAAGTGAGATCTTTTGTGCTCTGTAATTTCTATGTTCTGTTCACAAAGTCCTCCTGTGAAATCAGAACATTTTAATTTGTCACAGTGATTGAAGTTCCCTTGCAGTAAAAAGGCAGACAGGAAGTTATTGTGTGTCTGCTACAGTAGTTGCTTTTCTAGGAAACACCGGCATTTGTTGTTGTTTATCAGTGACAGTTGGAAAGTATTTTTTATTTTTGCAGAGTGCCAGAAGAAGCTGATTTCCCTGCAGTGTCATAGAGGCTGTTAGACGTTATGACTTGCTCCGCAATCCTCACCACATCATCCAGTTGCCACAAACACACACACCTACAAAGAGTACTCCAGCTTGAACTGGTTATTATGCACTAGCTCCCGACCAATTACAGCATGTGCCAATAATTATTATTCCTACGGGCGCCATGGTTTAAAAACTGCAAAAGCTAAAACATTTTCTCTTGACAAAACACAGAGAATACCTGCCGATCACTGGAGCTTCCCTCACAAAGAGGTTTTGCATATTTTGGATCATATTTGTTTGCCTTTACAGCCCATAATCCTGCACTTATCAACAAAGAACAGCTGGTAGCTGTTTTCCTAAAATAACAATACTTTTTTTTTAAAACGGCTATTCCTTAGCTGCTCAGCCCCAAACAGCAAACAGACAAAGTTAGTGTTTATTTGGTGAACATAGAGGAGAATATAGGCGCTTAAGATATTTGCAGATATTTCCCTCAGGAGTTGATGGAGACCAAAACCAAGCTATGAGGAAAGCAAATATTGGACCAAAAGGTGACTACAAAAAGAACTCCCAATGAATGCTAATGTTGCTCTGTTTCTGCTCGATGTCTATAAGCCAGCTGCTTGCTGACATGTTACCCATATCAACTTTTTAAGATGATACTATATCAATGTTTTGCTCAAAACAATGATTACTGAAGATTTAAAGTTACGTTTGAAATACTACAGACATGTGAGCTATCGCAAAAGCTGGACAAATTAAAATGTGGTTTTGTTGGCCGACTATTATCAGGAATCCTTCTCACGTTCGCACGAGTAATCAATCATGTTCAGACAAGGTAGCCTTTATAAACTGACAAGCACTCGCTCTTGTTTGTGATTATTATGCACCTGCTGCAGTTTAAACTACCCTTTCCTCTTCACAAAGACTACATAAAGCTGTTATTGGTTATGTTGATTGATATTTGTCCCTTTACCACCCTGCTCTCTTCTCTGTTAGCTTCCTATCAACGGGCTTGAGGTTGGCATTTCTTAAATGTAGCTTTATGTGTTCCCATTTCCCAGTGTCTGTTAGGCTGTCAGGCGCTTTATTGGATTCTCTGAAGCTCTCACCACTGTTTGGATTTCAGAGTACCTTTATGAGCAAAGCTGCGCCTCCAAATAAAAGTGTAACCATTTGTTACAATAAATATTCCTTTGTTCTTTGACACAAGTGTCACTGACGAATGGAGTGGCTGCACTCTGGAGGAGAGCTGCTCATGGATGATAAGGGCGTCCACAGGTGTTGCAGAGAGAGCCTCATGGGACAGAAGTGTTGGAAGGGTCATAATTGATTAATGTGAGCAAAGCTGATATTTGAGGAGCACAATTGCTTAAATTGGCTGCACAGGCAGGTGTATTCAGGACACATCCACTCAGCAGTGGTAAAATGAGGAATGATGAAGTTTGGTCAGAATTGCAAATATCCCTCTGAACTGAATTGTTTGTTGGTATTGCGATCGTTGGTATTAGATACAGCGTGTTTCCATTTAACTGAAGGTTTTTGTTAATGAAGTTACTTTTGAAGAAGCAGATCTCTTCTCAGAGAAACTGGGATTACAACACACAGAGGCAATGTGACTTAATTTTCTGCTCAGGGCTCCATTACCCCTCTATATGTTTACATAGCAGAGTTTTTTGCTGCTTTATTTATTTTCTGAATGTTATAAATTGGACCTTTAAAGTTGTGTCCAGTGCAACCAGTAGACCAGAGGTACTGTAGGATTGATCCTAAAAAAAAGTGTGCTTATGGTATTTTGTTTTATAACATCATACAGTAATACTATTAATAATTATTATCAACTAAAAAAGAAAGCACTAAAAGTAGAAGGCCATTTTTCAAGATGGCCACAATATTAGCTTATAGAGCAGGACGTAGCTTTGTTAATATTGTACTTTTGTGGTGCATCATTTACAAACACATTTCCAATTATTCGAATTACCATAGCCACACAGTACATTTGGGGCCCAAAAAGTGTCTGGAGACCCAGGATAGTTTCCAGCTTTGCACGGAAGGTAAGCCAGCCGTGCTCTATGGAAATTAATTTTACACATTTATTTGTGAAATAAGAAGCTCAGTTCTGGAAAAACAAATGTTTAATTTTCCAATGTGTGCACCATAACACAATGCTGCCTTTTTATAAGCCTGTCAAAAAGGTCTTTGTTGATATCGAGTCCATGAGATGGGGAGAATTGACAGCTCTCATTCACATGTGCAGCAAGTTGCTCCGTGAGTTATGTTTTTTAATAAAGTCTTCAGGGTTGTATCTTAAGAAATATGTCTCATTCATTTCAGCCATCATGTCAATAAGAGTGAGAGCAGGAATAATATCGTGGAACATAATGCTGAAGATTTTAGATAGTGTCGTCTGGGTATTGTTTCATTAGTGAGGATGTTTACCGTCTCTGGGGCGGATTTAGGATTAGTGCAGCCTTCATCCTGTGAATGTCAGCGACAATATGTGGAGACACAAGTCTTGTTCAGCAACATGCAAATATATATTGTACCTGCTCAGCTGTATCCTTATTGATATACACAGTACAGTATAGTATCTTAATAGTACATAAATAAGGTGTTACAATATGAAACTAATTACTCTCTTGTATATTTGTGTGTTTTGCGAAGAGAAGACCTAATCTTGTGTTTCAGTGATCTGTCATGTTCCCAAAGCAGATTGATTAGGCCACAGGCTAACTTGGGATGAACATGGATGAAGGGTTAGAGAAGCATACAAGGGTGAATTTTAGATCTGCTTCAACGGCCACAGTTGCCAGGTCACCATTGCCTTAAGTGTGTTTTGAGTCTACTGTATGTGTATGTCTGTGTGTGTATGTGTGTATGTCCTTCATGCATTTACTGTGCGCATACATGAGTCACTGTTGTTTGAGGGGAAACGAGAGCTGGAGATGAATGCATTTGGCAGCCTTGTTTCCCCTTCCATGGAAAAGACATGAGCTCAGAGGGACAATTGTCCTTCCTGAAACAGTGACAACTTTGAGAAAACAATCTGTGGAAAAAAAGTAGATTTGGTTCTCTTGGCTACTGTCTGTTATCTTGACATGTGTTTTTGTGCTGCTATGACGCTAAAAAGGCCTTTAATGTTGACTTGTTCTTTGGAATGTGTAGTTTTCCATTCTGGTTTATGCTCTGGATGGAGGAGGTTCAACAGGTCTGCCTCCCTTATGACAGTGCAGATTCATTGCTATTATGACATTATTAGTTTTTTCTGACATAACAAACAGAAGGGATTTGCTATCTCTCGGTGTGAGGATCATCTGGATAGCATTTGTATATTCTAAGTACGGAAAAAGTGTGTGTGTGTGCGTTCGTCAACGTAGGAGCCAGCATTATAAAGTGGAGGCAAATGTTTTGCCATTTGTTACAAGTGATCTTAGATATTTAATGCTGGCTGCTGTATATCCCAAAAAAAATCAAACCGGTGATCCTCATGCCGGGCTGATGCACATTTAATCTTTTTCTGGTCTGTCTCTGTGTCTTTGTCTCTCTCAGGCACAGACACACAGTTATACATACATATTTACAACTGGGTGACTATCCATCTGGTAGGACTTTGCTTTTTTCTCTGTCCTGTTGTGTAATTCTAATAAAGTCTCTATGTAAAATATCTTCATGTTTTCTATGACATTCTCGTGGAAATGTCTTTCCCTGTGCATTGGATGCTTCTCATGCATTTGAAACAACTTTTTGCTTACCATTTAAGTGGGAACAACACATTCATTAGTCTTTATCTGTTTGTTTCAGCTCCTGTGAGCAGCAGAGCCATGCAGAAACTAGAAGGTGAAGTTCACAGGCTCATTACCTTGCTTAGTTGGTGGTTCTGCTAAAAGTGCTCTTAATATAATCAAAAATAAATGTAATGTTTGCATAAAGCTACTCTTTACAAAGCCCCATAAAGCTGTTCAAAGCACTTCATTCATTAGGGTGTTCATTCAAAGTAAAAAAAAATTGACTTTTTTTTTTGGTTGAAACATAAACGCATACTGTGTTAAGAAGCAACCAATTATTTTTCCCCTGATAAAGCTACATTGTAAACAACAAATTTGCCCGAGAGCCTGCCATTAATCTATCCCCTCTGCGACTGGAACATGGCAGAACAGTCACACAGGCATTGGTATATCCTTACACGTTTCCATAGAGCATGCTTAAAAAAACAATCCATTAATATATGTCTTAAACCTATGAACAATAATACAATTATTGTTTATTAATTATAATACATTTTCATATTTTAATGTTTTTTGTTATTTTGTATAACTATCATTAACAGCTCGAAAACTTGATATTGTGTACTACTAAAAAGCACATTAAAAAACATGTGCAAATTTAGATTGTGTCGTCTGGCTTGACCTTCAAGACACAATTCCCTTCCAGTCGACATCTATTGACAGCATTTTCATTTTCACAACACTGTGTGTGAAAATGTAAACTGAATATAATTAAGATGACAAGGTTTAATTAATTAATGACTATTGATGTAGGCCGTACTTACTATCAATACAGCAAAAGGACACTGCCTGGCTAATTGATGAATGGACGAGCATTTTGCCCGGAAATCAATGTGGAGTGAAAGGGATTTCATCGTTCCAAACTATCAATAATGACACAAATCCTTTCTGCCCCAAGTGAATATAATTACATTTATCTTGTCAGCTGCTGTCATTGACACACAATTAGACTTAAAAAGGTTAAAGTGTTTATTTTGTATGGCAGGTTTTGCTTGTTCCTAGGCTGCGGCTACTTTCCTCTTTTCATCATCTATTGATCTCTGCTGGGATCATTAGATATCATCAATTACTAAAGCCAGCAAATTTCAGGGAGCAATTACAAACAATGGCTATTACTTCCTGCTACACATCCTCCAATCACCGCCTTAGTGCAGCCAACGTAAGGGGAGGTCAGCGAGGTCTTCTCTTGGGGGTTGGAGACATTTCTCTCTGTCAATACATTCAAAAAGCAATTTCAAAGAGGACACTGATTGTTCAGTTTTACATTGGAATAATATTCCATTCTTGAAATATTGTGCACAGTGCACATTGGTGTTGAATACCTTGTCACATGCAGCTTGTAGCTTTATTTTACTGTGGACCTCACATGCATCATTTTCCAGACAAATGAAGCTTAGCGCAAGTTCAAGCAGGAAGACCAAGCTCTTCATTCATATTACACGTCACTTCTCTACCCTATCCTCCCTCATTAAGTGATCGGGGGCGTCACTCCCCAGCTAACCAATCACTCCTCTCTCCATTCTCACAAGCCTATCGTTGCACCCGCTAATCCCTTTATATCTGCTCTTCCCTCTTGTCAGCTGTCATTCCAGGTGTCAATACGCAACAGCAGCAGGGCTTCGTCCCAGCTCCAGGTATATATTCATTAGCTGCAGTATTGCGGATTAGGCTACAGGCGGCGTTCCCCAGTTGGCTAGCGGTTCCAGCCGGCCACCCCGCAAACCCGGACGCGGGAGGAAAGGACAAGGATATCGGGCTCCACGGAAGTTCCTCCGGCTTAATGGAAATGGGCTACTTCACGCAAACAATTGACGCACGCTTCAGTTTCTCGAGAGGGCATCACCGGCATCAGGGCCGCTCAAATGCGGCGCTTCCGGCCTTCACGCGGAACGGGCCCTCATGCATGCAAAGCTTCACCCACTTCTGGCTTCAACCATAACCCCTCTTGCAGGCAGGTAGGGCTTAAGCTACATCCCATTGAAGCTACTTCTCCTCCCGGCTCAATAGCCAGTCATAGGCGATAGTCATAGCAGGTTCATTGCACAGAGCAGGTTCATTGCACAGCCCAGGCTCTCGCCTCTTTTCCCCGCGCTCACCTCTAAAATAGGCGTCAGGGTAGCGCTGGCAAGAGGCAGTTGCAACATATTCACGAGATATTCGTATATGCATCGCTGCCTTTAGTTCAGGGTTAAAGTGAGTCAGGCAGCGTCGGGTGTAACGTGTTACAGCATGGAGTTATGCAGTTCGGGTAACTACTACCCGTCACAATGCTCAGTAAGTACCGCAGTTTCAAGCTTCAACACAGTCATGGACGCTGCCCCATCCGTTGGTTTTGGGGGGTTTCTTTCAGGGAGAAAGAGAAGTTCACGTAAGATAATAGAAGACCGTCTTAATCACCCAATAAGCATATCAGCATCTATGTCTCACCGTGGCGTAATTAATCTGCTAATTAAGCTAGTCCTATATCACGGGTCATGTTTCAGTATTTACCTAAACGTTCATTATCTTATGCCGCGCATAGTGCACCTCATTTATATTTTGGCTTCATGCTCACATGGCTCGCGATAAGCCAGGTTATGATATCATGCATTACCGTACTTAAGCTAACAGCTGCTTACATTGTCTACATCTCCCTCTTCGCCCGGACATCGGCTCGTGCCGGCAATCCAAGATCTCTTCAGTTTACCTATGGTAAACATGCATATAACTGGTGGTGGTGTCTTAATAGCATTTCAGGGCTTCGTCCAGGACAGGTGCAGCAACCCTGCCGCAATCAAGATCACCGCAGTCAGCCCACAAGGTAAGAAACTCACTACAGCTCAGTATGTCATACTTCACGTCTTTGGGGGTTTCTTCGGAGCGGTTCTTCCCCTCCTGAATGATAATCCTGCAAACCGGGGCCTAATCGCCAAACACCATTCCATTCTCCTGTCTTAATTACACACAGCATCAATTGCACGTCTGTCCGTCCCGGGAGAGGGATCCCTCCTCTGTTGCTCTCCCTGAGGTTTCTCCCATTTTCCCCTTTAAACTGTGGGTTTTCTTCAGGAGTTTTTCCTTGTACGATGTGAGGGTCTAAGGACAGAGGGTGTCGTATTGTCATACTGATATATTTGTACACATTGTGAAGTCCACTGAGACAAATGTAACATTCGTGATATTGGGCTATATAAATAAACATTGATTGATTAATTCTGGCAATCATCATTTCATTCATATGACGTGTCCCAGTAATAAATATGTATTTCATACATCAATGTCTCTCCTGATTGAAATGAAGCTTAGCGCAAGTTCAAGCAGGAAGACCAAGCTCTTCATTCATATTACACGTCACTTCTCTACCCTATCCTCCCTCATTAAGTGATCGGGGCGTCACTCCCCAGCTAACCAATCACTCCTCTCTCCATTCTCACAAGCCTATCGTTGCACCCGCTAATCCCTTTATATCTGCTCTTCCCTCTTGTCAGCTGTCATTCCAGGTGTCAATACGCAACCCTCCTCCACCCCTCTCGCCTCCCGTCTCCTACAGGACCAAGCTAATCCTTCTCCCTTCAGACCGGTCCCACCTACTTATCACCACCACCAGTGTCTAGACCCCGGGGGGTTTCTTCGGAGCGGTTCTTCCCCTCCTGAATGATAATCCTGCAAACCGGGGCCTAATCGCCAAACACCATTCCATTCTCCTGTCTTAATTACACACAGCATCTATTGCACGTCTGTCCGTCCCGGGAGAGGGATCCCTCCTCTGTTGCTCTCCCTGAGGTTTCTCCCATTTTCCCCTTTAAACTGTGGGTTTTCTTCGGGAGTTTTTCCTTGTACGATGTGAGGGTCTAAGGACAGAGGGTGTCGTATTGTCATACTGATATATTTGTACACATTGTGAAGTCCACTGAGACAAATGTAACATTCGTGATATTGGGCTATATAAATAAACATTGATTGATTGATTAATTCTGGCAATCATCATTTCATTCATATGACGTGTCCCAGTAATAAATATGTATTTCATACATCAATGTCTCTCCTGATTGAAGTACAGTTCTGGCTCAATTGAGAAGGAACAGTGTATATTGATAGCTTTTTACTTCCTGGTCTTTGTTATTCTGCATCTTGTGGCACTGAACCCACAGATGTTTGCAGTCATGAATTTGTCAATGGGCTACTCTGGGGCTAAACAAGGTCTTGGTTTAATAATTTAAATATAGAAAAAGCCCTTCTGTCTTCTATCTGTGTGAAATGAGCTGATGAGCAATCGTGGACCTCTGTGAATCTGTATCCCATAGGACATGTCAGAGATATAATAACTCCCCCTAAAATCCCTTATTTACTAATTGTAAATTGAATAGGGATTCAGAATGTTCTTCCCTGGAAAGAAGAGCATCTGCAAGGTGACAGGATGAACTAAATGCCTTGGCAGTAAAAACGTACTAAATTGACTGAATGTATTGTTCCCTGATTTGGAAAGCTGTGAAAGAACACTACAAAACAAGGTTAAGAGTAAATACGCTTATAATGTGCATCTGGACCTGGTGACGACATTACCTATTGACGCAGCAACCACTGTAAGTTATATTCTTGTTTAATTAGACTTCTCGGTTTCATTTATTCGACTCTGTATAATTGTTACTGTAGCTTAAACGGCTAAATCGCTTTTGAGAGATTTTAAATCTCAGATCTGCTCAGGCGAAACCTGCTTTACAGGTCTCAGCACTCAAGCCTGCATTATTAACATAGGCAGGGCCAGTCTATTGATTGTGTGAAGTAGAACCGCGTGACTCAGTCATCCTTTAGCTCAAAAAGCATTTAAATACCGCATTTAGAAACTGATGAACTCAGTGTGCATCTGGACCTGGTGACG